CAAAAAACATGGGCGAATCATAGAAAACCACTTAAGAAAAGAAAGGCTTGAGTCCTGAGAAACAATTTGCATTCTGAGTTCCAGGTAAGATAAATAAAATAAGTTCTTACAGAGTTATATTACATTGAAACTACAAATTAACAAGAATTAAAGGTAAACAATTATAAATGCAAATGGAGAAGAAAGTCAGGTCACAAACAAAAAATCAGACAATTAGACTCACAACATACTTACTATCAACAATAATAAATGCCAAATGACATCGGTATGATGTGCTGAAGGAAAATAACATTCAACCGAAATTTCTATTTCCAGCTGCATTATTGTTTAACAGTACCAGTGGGGCACCTGGCTGGCTCAGTTGGTAGGGCATGCATCTCTTGATCTCAGGACCACAAGTTCAAGCCCCACACTGGGTGTAGAGCTTACTTAAAAAATATATAAATTAAAAAATATTTAAAGTAAAAATACCAGTATAATTTAGATAATTTCAGATAAAAAGAATGAGAGTTCACACAGATACACACTAAAAGGGTTATTAAAATAGATACTTAAATAGGAAGAAAATTGAGCCCAGATATGAGGAGTGGTTGTATAAAACATACGATGAAAAATGGTGGATTGAATTAGCTATTGATTTGTGAGCCATATGGTAGCTAATTGGTGAGTGAAAAACATGACAAAGATTATAAATCAATAGTAGCAAGACAGAGATTGTTCAGAGTGGTTAAGACAATGAACTTTTTGTCTTTTGAAGAGATAATATTGTTGCATAATTTTACATTGTGTTAGAAAAAATAGTTAAGGATATATATTACATATTTAAGAACAGTTATATACTCTATTGCTTCTAAAGCAACAGAAGCATGAGGAAGAGATAGAGATTACATTATCTGTCCATGCAGGTGCATAAAACAAAAGGGAGTAAGGTATTAAAAATAAAAGATAACAGGGGCGCCTGGGTGGTGCAGTCGGTTAAGCGTCCGACTTCAGCCAGGTCACGATCTCGCGGTCTGTGAGTTCGAGCCCCGCGTCGGGCTCTGGGCTGATGGCTCAGGCCTGGAGCCTGTTTCCGATTCTGTGTCTCCCTCTCTCTCTGCCCCTCCCCCGTTCATGCTCTGTCTCTCTCTGTCCCAAAAAATAAATAAACGTTTGAAAAAAAAATAAATAAAAATAAAAGATAACAAAAAACTGGTAAATAAAAAACACAAAATAAATCCCACAGTATACAGAATCATGATAAATATAAGCTAGTTATATCCATCCATTTAAATAAGGAAATTAAAACATAACATGCTTCATCTGCTCTCAAGATATATGGTAAAGCTATATACCTTATAAAAATTTGAAAGATAAAAAGATGAGAAAATATTAAGCAAAAAGTTTTCAGAAAAATACTTTCCAAAATACAGCCAACGTAATAACATTAAAACAGATGTATTTGGAAAACTGATACATTAAATATAAAAGGAAATAAACTTGAATTTAAGGTAAAAGGCAGAGAAGCAGATGGACAGAGTACATAACAACAAAAGGCATAATTTAATAAAAATTGTGTTAGGCTTACTAGTACTCACAGATATCTTGTTACCTTGTCCTTCTAGACACATGGAAACTTGCACTTTTCATTTCCTTTGCAGTGAGGTGGTCCTATGTGAGTAATTCTAGGTAATGAAATGAGAGCAGAAAAGACGTGTGTCCCTTAGGAGCTGAGAGAGTGGAGAGCACATGCATGATTCTCCAATCTGGCTCTTCTACTACCAAAAAGACTGAGGCTATCTGTTCTTGATCAGAGTATTCCAACAGAAATATATGTGACTCACATAGGTAGTTATAAATTTTCCTTTAGCTAATTAAAAAAAATATTAAACCAATAAAACTAATTTTAATAACATTTTATTTAACCCAAATATATCCAGCATAATGCCATTTCAGCATGTAATCAATATAAAAATTAGTAATAAAATGTTTTACATTTTTTCATTGAAACTCAGAGTATTTTATACTTACAGCATATCTCTGTTGACAGCCACATATCAAATGTTCAGTAATTAATATGAGTCCTACCATATTGGATACCACACTTTTGCGAAGTGGACTTTCCATGGGGAGCCCACATCACCTGGGGTTGCTGAGTTATCTTACAGATGACAATTTCCCCAAGGAATCCACTAGGTCCATAATGGATTTTTGTATGGGAAAGAAATAAATCTTTGCTGCCATTGAAAATTTATTCTTTATGCTGCCTCATATTTTACATATCACAAAAATACAAAGATAATAGCAATGATAACTTTCTAAGCATACACAAACATAGCTTTGAAATCTATAAAGCAAAAACGGATATAATTCCAAGAATAATTCATAAAACTTGATCATTCAAGGAAGTTTTCATGCATGTCTATGAAAAAGTTATAAACAGTAGCTCATTAAGTAAGGTTACAGAAGCTTTGAATTAACAGTTACTCTATTGAACATATACAAATGGAACCTATATCTAACAATAGGTACTATTTGCTTTTTTACACATAGATGCAACATTTTCTTTATAATTTTCATGGGCCACTCTTGAAAGAATTATCAATAAAACTAAAAAAAAATCACACCATATAGACTATTTACTCTCACCATAATGTGATTATGTAGTGGTACAGAACTGAAAAGAGATCCAAGTCTTGTGGGTTTGAAAACTCAAATGTATGTATATTCCACAATCATTCTCATAAAGAGAAATGATAATAGGTTCCAAAATCATAAGAATTGTAGACAACATAAATAGCCCTGTCAGTGAATATAGAATGCAGCTAAATAGTTTTTAGTGGAAATTTTACAACCTCAAATGCATTAATTTAATAAGAAACTTTGAAGAAATTGTTAAGCAGTCAATTCAAGAAGCTTGGAAGAGAACAGAGACCTTGTCTTAAGAAAGTAGAAGAAAGAATATCAAAAACAAATAGTATAAATAAACTTTGAAAAGCATGAGAAAAGATTTTTTTAAAAATTAAAAAACACAATTATGTGAAACCTCTAGTAATATAGATAAAGAAAAAAAGTGATGGTACAAATAAAATATATTACAAATAGGGAAGGGAAAAATAAGTACATAGAGTGGTTTTTCTTTATAATAAGGAAAAAAATTAAGAAAGGTTTTTGTTTTGTTTTGTTTTGTTTTTTAAGTTTATTTGGGGATGCCTGGGTGACTTGGTTAAGCTTCCGACTTTGGCTCAGGTCATGATTTTGCGGTTTGTGGGTTTGAGCCCCACAACAGGCTCTGTGATGACAGCTCAGAGCCTGGAGCCTGCTTCGGATTCTGTGTCTCCCTTTCTCTCTGCCCCTCCCCTGCTCATGTTCTCTCTCTCTCTCTCTCTCTCTCTCTCTCTCTGTCTCTGTCTCTCTCTCTCAAAAATAAACGTTATAAAAAATAAAGCGTATTTGGTTTTGAGAGAGAGAGAGAGAGAGAGAGAGAGAAAGAGAGTGTGCCCAAGTGCATGTGAGTTGGAGAGGGGCAGAGAGAGGAGAGAGAGATTCCTAAGCAGGCTCTATGCTGTCAGCACATAGCCCACTCTAGGGCTCAATTTCATGAACCTGAACCGTGAGATCATGACCTGAGCCAAAATCAAGAGCCAGCTGCTTAACCAACTGAGTCATCCAGGCACCCAAGAAAGTTTTAATAGGAGAATTTTAAGGGCTCTCTACTTACTGCTTGCCTGGTAGACTTGCTTAGCACTAAATAGTAAAAAGTAATGACAGATAAAGGAAAATTATATTGGCTGCCCTGTGTGAAGTAATTATTGCTGCAAATGATATATCCCTTCTTGTCTAATGTATATAAGTATATTCCCTCATACTAAAGTGTGTAAAACTGTCTTGTGTTTCTTATGTGTGATGATTTCTCTATTAATTATGCATCTATATATTTAAGTGATGTTTTAATTTTGTAACATAAAATAAATTCAAGTGGTATTATACATAGAATTTTCATTCAAAATATTTTTATACCACCTCCTACATTTAAAGCCAATCAGATGCAAAATAAGGGAAAGGTTATTTCTTTTAGTTCTAAGATGAATCATAATTATATTGAAGATTGAAAAGGGAGGTGGAAAATCCCTTTTGTCAAAAAAATTATTACCTTAATAGCGATTTGTTTGTAAAGGAGTAGAAGGAAAAGTAGTCTAAAATTTGAAACCTGTACTTTTCAGAAGCTAAATTGGCCCTGAACTCCAAATAGCTTCATATGACCAAAATATCATAGATATTTTGTTACTGATGGAAAAATAGATCATTCTGTTAAAGTTGGGGCAATATATAGAGTTGTTGCTCTGTAATGTTCTATACACGATCTGGTATACAATAAACATAAGGAATTAACATCTCTACTGTAAATGAGCATCATGCAATCCCCATTGTGTATCATGAAGTAAATTCACAACACGGAGTTTAAGTTATTTTGATGGATGGACTAGATATTGAAGGCACAACACGATGAAATGACAAGTTTCTTGCTTTAGTTATCAGTTCTTAACAAGACTGATAACAGGTTGATTTATTAATTTCAACCAGGCAGAAAGATCGAGTGGGAGGATATTGGAAAAAAGAAATGTCAGGATTTCAAGTTATCAGATGCAGATACTTATGAATAAACCAAGATATCCTCAAGTACATAACGTAGGCAAAAAAGGATAGCTATCTAAAATGTGAGAGAGGACTTGCTGTTTATCATGAAGACGAAGATACATAATGTCTTTTATTCAATATGTAAAGTGTTACAGATATAAATGTCATAGTTATTTTCAATTCAATTCAACAAACATTTATTAAGAAACTATTCCCTACCAGGCATTGTGAAAGGTCCTGGGATACAGAGTTAGACTAGGGTTGTAAAAAGCTCCTGCCCAAGTAAAGAAGGCAAGTAAAGTAATAAAGTCTGAAGATTTAAAGGGATATAATAATTGATCAATTTGTAGAATTACTAGAGAATAAAAAGAAATTTATCTTACCTAAGATTCAGGAAGCCTTCCTGGGTGAGGTAACATCAGATCTGACTTCTGAAGACAGAGGAAAGAGCCTGTGTCTTTGCAGGGACAGAGTGCTACTAGGTTAGTGCCTGCAGGTCCCACCTGATGGGTCACGCTTGTTCAGTAATCTGTGCTAACATGATGACCATAATCCTGGGTAAGATAACAACTTATCTCAGCTTTGGTCACCTTATCTGTAAAGAAAGGATTTCAATACTTACTTTTAAAATAGTCATGAGGTTCAGAAGTATGTATATATAAGCACAATAAAACATTAATAGCAATAATAATAAATTAATAATCATAATTCATGGAGTGCTTAATATAGTAAAAACTAAAATGAACACTTTTTCCCCCCTCTGTGCTTATTTTATTTTTTTATGTTTTTTTTCAATATATGAAGTTTAATGTCAAATTGGTTTCCATTCAAAACCCAGTGCTCATCCCAAAAGGTGCCCTCCTTAATACCCATCACCCACCCTCCTCTCCCTCCCACCCCCCATCAACCCTTAGCTTATTCTCAATTTTTAAGAGTCTCTTATGCTTTGGCTCTCTTCCACCCTAACCTATTTTTTTTTCCTTCCCCTCCCCCATGGGTTTCTGTTAAGTTTCTCAGGATCCTCATAAGACTGAAAACATATGGTATCTGACTTTCTCTGTATGGCTTATTTCACTTAGCATCACACTCTCCAGTTCCATCCATGTTGCTACAAAGGGCCATATTTCATTCTTTCTCATTGCCACGTAGTACTCCATTGTGTATATAAACCACAATTTCTTTATCCATTCATCAGTTGATGGACATTTAGGCTCTTTCCATAATTTGGCTATTGTTGAGAGTGCTGCTATAAACATTGGGGTACAAGTGCCCCTATGCATCAGCACTCCTGTATCCCTTGGGTAAATTCCTAGCAGTGTAATTGCTGGGTCATAGGGTAGGTCTATTTTTAATTTTTCGAGGAACCTCCACACTGTTTTCCAGAGTGGCTGCACCAGTTTGCATTCCCACCAACAGTGCAAGAGGGTTCCCGTTTCTCCACATCCTCACCGGCATCTATAGTTTCCTGATTTGTTCATTTTGGCCACTCTGACTGGCGTGAGGTGATATCTGAGTGTGGTTTTGATTTGTATTTCCCTGATGAGGAGCGACGTTGAGCATCTTTTCATGTACCTTTTGGCCATCCGGATGTCTTCTTTAGAGAAGTGTCTATTCATGTTTTCTGCCCATTTCTTCACTGGGTTATAAAATGCACACTTTTCATACATAATCATATTTAATGTCAAGCACAACGCTGTTATCCATATTATTATCCCCATTAAAGAGGTATAAACTGAGGTTTAGAAAAATCAGGCAATCTCTAAAATATTATTTAATATTAAATTTCAGCATCACCAGCTGAAACTCCGTTAGGAATGGAAGGCTCACAGGCCACTGTGACTGCAGCATTTAGCACAGTTCTTCGTTCATAGTAAGGGTTCAAGAAACATTTGTTAAATAAATGGATAAGTGTTTTGGAAAGACCCAGGCATGTCTGACCCCAAAAGCCACACTCTAAAATTAGAAAGTAAGTAAATATTTTGGAAAAAATAGCTATTCACATCCACTGCCCATTTTTAAATCAGGTTGTTCTTTTTTTGTGATTGAGTTGTATGAGTTTTTTTTTTATCTATTTCAGATATCAACCCCTTATTAGATGTACCATTTGCAAGTATCTTCTCTGATTCAGTAGGCTGCCTCTTATTTTGTTGATGGTTTTCTTTGCTGTACAAAGCGTTTTTAGTTTGGTGTAGTCCCATTTGTTTATTTTAGCTTTTGTTGCCCTTGTCTGAGGAGACATAGCCAAAACAAACATTTCTAAGACCAATGTCAAAGAGCCTATTGCCTATGTTTTCTTCTAGGAGTTTTATGGTTTTAGGATTCACATCAAGTCTTTAATTCATTTTGAGTTTATTTTTGTATATGGCATAAGATAATGATCCATTTTCATTATTTTTGCATGTAGTTGTCAAGTTTTCTGAACACTATTTATTGAAGAAATAGTCTTTTCCCCATTGTATGTTCTTGTTTCCTTTGTTGTAGATTAATTGAGCAAGGAAGCATGGGTTTATTTCTGGGATCTCTACTAAGTTCCATCAATATAAGAAGACAGGCAGATGGCCAACAGGCACATGAAAAGATGTTCAACATCACTCATCATCAGGGAAATGCAAATCAAAACCACAATGAGCAGCTACCTCATGCTTGTCAGAATGACCATTATCAAAAGACAAAAAATAACAAGTGTTGATGAGGACAAGAAGAAAAGGGAACCTTCACACACTGTTGATGGGGATGTAAATGGATGTAGCCACTATGGAAAACAGTATGAGTCTTCCTCAATATAAAAATTAAAAAATAGAACTACCATAGAATCCAGCAATTTGCTTCTGGGTATTTTTCTGAAAAAAAAAATGTAAATACTAAATCTATATATCTATATCTATATATCTATATCTATATCTGTATCTATATCTATCTATACCTACACACATTGTAATATTATTCAGCCATAAAAAAGAATGAAATCTTACTATTTGAAACAGCACAGATGGGCCTGGAAGGTATTATGCTAAGTGAAATAAGTCAGACAGAGAAAGAAAAATATTGTATGCTTTCATTTACATGTGGAATCTAAAAAACAGAACATGAACAAACAAAACAGAAATGGACACATAAATACAGAGAACAAACCGGTGCCAGAGGGGAGGGAGTAGGGAGACAGAGAAAATAGGTAAAGGGGATATAAGTCATAGGAATGTAATGTACAACATAGGGCATATAGTCTATAACACTGTAAACTACTTTGTATGGTTACACATGGTAACTAGACCTGTCATAATTATCATCTCGTAATGTACAAAAATATTGAATCACTATATTGTACACCTGAAACAAACACAATATTGCATGTCAATGATAAGTCAATAAAAAAGTAGTACCAAATACTTGGCAGTCATTATCATTGTAATGTTTAATGTCTGCTAATTGGAAATTGTAAATACTTTCTAAAACATCTAATAGAAAAATGAAGTTTTATTGGCAAAAACCTATTAGAGAAAGAAAAGTGAAGAGAAATGAGGAAAGACCAGCCAAGAGAAATGGTACCTTAAAATAAATCTGGTGGTAGTTAAAAACAGTGTGGTTCAGCAGCTGTTAAGACTTTCAGAAATAGGGAGAAGGGAAAAAACAATCAATGTTCCATAATAAAGACAAATCAATCAAAGAAGACTTCTTTAATATTTGATATGTGACATGGGGAAAAGAAATATGAAAAGGGAGTAGAAATGAGCTACCTTGCCTTTTGGGGAGTAATGATATATTACTAGAAAATCCATATATCAGGATCTTTTCCAATAAATTAAGCTAACAGGACCTCTTCTGTACTTAATAATTTCTCTGTACCTAAAGTTATAAAAATTTTTATAATTGTATGACTAGGCAATCCAGAAAATGTATGTGGATGTGTGTGTGTTTCTGTGTATTTTGTTTGTTTGTTTGTTTGTTTTATATTCTTTTTTACTTTGGACCTGAATTTTTAAAGCATATATTAAATTATACTATTTTACGTGAATAGATTGAGAAGTCTGAGGCATATATTATATATATTTTAATTATATTAAAATTAAAATATAAAACTGGTGCTCAGAAATTTAAAATTTTTTTTTAATGTTTATTATTTATTTTTGAGACAGGGAGAGACAGAGTGCAAGCTGGGGAGGAGCAGAGAGAGAGAGGGAGTCACAGAATCTGAAGCAAGCTCCAGGCTCCAAGCTGTCAGCACAGAGCCCAACGCAGGGCTCAAACTCACGAAGTGCGAGATCATGACCTGAGCCAAAGCTGGTCGCTCAACCGACCGAGCCACCCAGGCACCCCTAGGTGCTCAGAAATTTTAATTTAGCAGTTTAAAGAGTTCTTGTTATGACTACTTTGGAGGACCCATACTTAAGAGCTTGAATTTCCTGAATTCCGAGCCACTGTGTCCTAAAGAATCTAGGGATAGCTGTTGAACTTTCAGTGCTCACCAACACCATGGAAACACTGGATAGTGGGGCGCCTGGGTGGCGCAGTCGGTTAAGCGTCCGACTTCAGCCAGGTCACAATCTCGCGGTCTGTGAGTTCGAGCCCCGCATCAGCCTCTGGGCTGATGGCTCAGAGCCTGGAGCCTGCTTCCGATTCTGTGTCTCCCTCTCTCTCTGCCCCTCCCCCGTTCATGCTCTGTCTCTCTCTGTCCCAAAAAAATAAATAAACATTGGAAAAAAAAAGAAAGAAAAAAAAAGAAACACTGGATAGCACAGTTAAGTCCAAGCCAGTGAATAAACTTAGGCATAAGATAATTCAGGCTACACTCATCTGACATCTGAAGTCCTATCTGGGTTCAGTCTCCTGCCCCTTTTCCCCTTATAACCCACATCCCTAATAAGTAGGCCCTTTTCCCCTTATAACCCACATCCCTAATAAGTAGGGAGATTTCATTAGAGATTATATAAAAGGACTGTTTGGCCTTCCTCTCACTGATTATATAGAGACCTTATCCAGCGATGGTTTAGATGTTAAAAATTTCTCAACAAGTGATTTGTACATTAAGCAACTGCAAATGTCTGAGAGGTATTAATGCATTCTCTTGCAAGGCAGGAGGGGAAAGAATTCAGGCCAACCTGGTTAACCATATCGACCCTTCATTTCAGTAAGAAAACTCACTCCAAATCCAAATCTAAAGATACTACCCTTTTTAAATAATTTTGGATTTGATATACTAATACCTCATTGAAGATTTTTGCAATGTTTGTGCAAAAATGTTTGTGAGGAATATCTATGTTTGTGAGGAATATTAATCCATAGTTTTCTTCTCTTGTAATGTTTTTATCTGGTTTGAGTAACAAGGTAATGCTGGCCTCATTACATGAGATAGAGTTCTATCCTCTTTTATCTAGATAAGAGCTTTAAAGAACCCATCACTGAAGCTATCAACATGATTTTTTTGTTCAAAGTTTAAACTATAAAATTCAATTTGTTTAATCAATGACCCCCATTTGGGTCCCTTCTCCATTTTTTCATATTTTTTTTTTTTTTTTTGAGAGACATAGAGAGAGATGGAGTCGGGGGCGGGGCGGGGGGGGGGGGAGAATTCTAAGCAGGTTCCACACCCAGCACAGA